TATATAGGTATAAACCGTGCTCTGCGTCAAATGAAGTACTCCTTTCACCCTATACGTCTAATTCTTCACAAACTTGGACAAACGGTGAACTTTTAAAACTTCAACCTGTACTGTGAAATCATAGACTTATCAAGAAAATGTCCGACAAAAATGGCATTTTTCATGAGTAATATTTGTTTTGAGAAGGCTTCCGCTTTACTCACTAACATCAAGTTCTTTCCCCAAAAAACATTCTGCACATCTATCAGAGTATTAGACAGACTATAGAAACAAAATTACGTAAGCAGTTGGAAAATTCTAAGTAGGAAGACCAAAGAAATTTTTATCACTTAAGCAAAGACTCCAGTATAAGTAACAGCAAAATCCCTCAATGCATAACCAATAAAAACAATTTTTTGACAAGTCCAAAAAAAGTTTATATTACGTAAAACTTCCCAAAATGAAAAATAAAAAAAACTTTAGTGTCAAAATTAGAGTACAACCAGACAGACCAACACCAGTCTGGCTCAGAATCCCAATAAAATGCAGTGTAACTGCTCACTTGTGTCCACTTAACATTTAACCCACCGTTTCGAATTCCAAACTTTCACAGCTGCTCATTTAAGCGGAACAAAACATGTCACAAAATTTTTTTGTTAAGCTCTCATCAAGACGGGCATGACTGTTCCAAAAACCCAATAAAAAGGTCCTTCAAAGTACCACTGCCTATCGAAGTCATAGCATTTCAAGGCTAGCTTGTGGAAAATTCTCTCAGAAGAACTACGACTGTGGAAAGAAAAACCACACCTTCCCAAACTTTGTGGAAAAGAGAACTTGAATAAAACCTACCTCTCAAGCCGCTGATGACTGTATCTTTGAAAAATTATGGCGGCGATCATTTGAAAAAGCAAGGCAATTCTATTAGTAGACCATATTTTAAGAAAACGTCAACTAGCACACAGTATTATTATAACTTTGAAGTTGCACTGACATAAACTTTGATAGAAAAACTTCTCAGAAAGCATCACAGCTGCCCCATCACCCAATGAAACAAGCTGCGACCTCATGTTGGTCGACTAAGGAAGGGAACTCTAATCGATTTGAAACAAGTAACTCTAATACATTCGCAGTACATCAGAAGTGGTCTCTACTGGCTTTTAGTTGTTACTGAAATAATAAAACCTAATCGTAGGAACCACTTCACGTCCTTGACTGAAATCACCAAAGATTTAAGGAGACGGATAAAAAAGACTAGAGAAGTGTCAAAAGATTAAGAGAACTTCAATTATACTTCTGTAAAGAAGTTTTCCTTAGAGATCCTAAAACACTCACCCAGCAAAAAAAAAAAGTTTATTTCACTAACCAGCGAGTAAAATAAAAAACGCAGTTTTAAAGTCGACAATTTATTAAAAATAAGAAAAGTTTTGAAAAAATTTTTAAAACTTCAAAGAGGCTTAAAAATAAATTTATGACTCACGCAGGACCGGAAAAAACGCACAAAAACTAAATAAACTGTAACCACGAATCTAATAAAAAAGTGATACTTCATCAAATAAAGATTCATCAATTTCTACATTCCCTGCTGCTTGCATTACGGCAAAATCAGAAAGATTCAAAGAAGCATCTCGCAAGAAAAGTTGACGTCCCGTAAGTTTTCCACACAAAGCAGCTTCTCGAATCTGCAAAAAAAAAGATAACAGATTAACAGGTGACTGAATCAATTTAGTCACCATAATTACTAACTTTCTTCTCCTTCTCTCGTGCAGCTTCCACCTCAATGTCAAAATTTAACTTCCATTCTCTAAATGATTCGGGAGTTACACGAATACCTGAAAATTTCAACCTTCATTTTCTTAAGTGAAGCCCAAAATTAGCCATTCAAGAATATTTACTACAGTACAACTGCTACCAGACAGAAGAGAAATTTCATTTGGTCTCAATTCCTCCTACAAAAAGCAACTGAGAATTTATGGTACTGAAAGACTTGAACTCCTTTCATAACAATCAACCTTGACATTTTCTCTTTCTGTTTTCACCAGTATAACCTTTACGCATGAGTTGTTTCAATGAATGGCAATTATAACCTATCAGTTAGAAGAAAAGTTAACAGAAGAAATACCATCGACAAGTAATTTGAAAAAAAAAAATTATGTTTTCCAAATACCCTTCGAAAAACCGAAATAAAAAAAGAAATCTAAGAATTCCGTGCTAGATCAAAATTCACGGCATAGCAATCTGCGTCTAATGGAAGTTATTGATCAACAAAAACCTTCAAATTTTTTCCTATTCAATGCTTCTTCTTCCGCTATCTTTTGCTGGTTCAACTGTTCTTTCTCCTTATTCAAATCTTCCACGAGCACACCAATGTTATCCTTTAAAAAAGATTCGTGAAGCGGAAGAAAAAGTTGTTTATCAAAGTCTCAATTTGAGTGTCTTTTATTAAATAACTAGAAAAACAAACCTTACACATTAATATTATCAGTAATATC